TCTTCCTGGTCTGCAGACCAGGGAGACGCAGAGAAAGCCCCAGAGTACACGGGCGGCAGGACCGCGAGGTCCCGCAGTCCGTGTACTCTGGGGCAGCCCCGTTCGTAACTGCGTATCCGACATAAGTCGGATCCGCGTAAGTCGGGGACTGCCTGTATCTTCCAGCAAAAACTATAACATTGTATCAATATAAGCTCATGTCTATTAGCACCAGTAACAACTGTAAACACTTTTAAAATGATATTGGAATTTGGGAGTCTGACTTATAAAACAACCACCATACCTTAGGGCAGGGGTTGGCAACCTATGGCTTGTAAGCCAAATATAGCTCACTAAGGAGCCAGATATGGCTCTTTTGGAGCTCCAGCTCAGCCCTCCCCTAGCTCTCCCTGCAGCAGGGAGCCAGCGCTGGCACTAAAACCTTACAGCTCCCTGCAAGATTGGAACATCAGCACTGGCTTCCTGTGGGGAGAGGGGAGAAACCCCGAGCCTCCCCACTGGATACAGCATGCAGGGAACAAGTGGAGCCAAAAATGACTTCATGTGCTACTGTTTTCCTTCCCCCAGATGGGGGAAATGCCTTGCAGGGATGCACTTCCTGGAGGCTTCCCCTTTGCTCCCATTGGCCAGAATCTGGCAAATGGGAGTAACAGGAGGCTGTGTTACATGGTTTCTGTGATGCGGTGTGAAAGGAAGTAAGTGGCCCCTCACCCCACACTCCACCACCCTCATGCACTCTCCCCACCAAGACCCTCAGTCTGCTCTTGCCTCCTCCCCTCTGGCCAGACACTCTGGCCCCAGCTCATGGCTGCATCCTACTTCCCACTCATACCTTGTTCCTGCACCCCCTCCTGCATCCCATCTCCCACCCAGCTCCTGCACTGCCATCCCATTCACTGGCAGCCCTGTTCCACATACTTACCCCTTTATTTTTAGCCCCACCCCAGAGCCTATGGGGGCCCACAAAATCCACTAACCCTGGAACCCCAGAAGAGTAAATTTGGCCTTGAAGCTTAGTCCTCCCTCCCCCCACCATGGGGCTGGAGCACCAGGAGAGTGAGGTGTTTTAGTCAGGGGCCACATCAATGAAGGTTGGGGGATTTTGGAGGTTTTTTTTTATTTCTCACTTGTGTGGTCTCCGACTGATTTTTCTGAGGGTTAATGGCCCCCGATCCAGAAAAAGGTTCTTCTTCGAGTGGTTGCTCATATCCATTCGAATTGGGTGTGCGCACCGCATGCACCGCGTCTTCCAGAGCGTTTTCCCTAGCGGTACCCGTATCGCCGGCAGAGCGCCCTCTGGAGTGGTGCTACCATGGCGGGGCATAAGTACCCCTGCCGGCACTCCCCCACCTCAGTTCCTTCTTACCGCCCGTGATGGTTGTTGGAGCGTGTATCTTTGTTAGAGCAGTTAATGGTTCCCGTTTTTCTCTTAATGTTGTAAATAGTTCTAAATAGTTCAAATTAGTTAGATAGTTGGCAGTTCTTTGTTTTTTCTTCTCCCTCTTCGGGGGGTGAGGAATGCCAGGGCTGCAAGGCTTTAAGGCGTGTGCTGTGTGTGCAAAGTTTATGCTCAAAGGAGACCCTCACGATAGTTGTCTGAAGTGTCTGGGTGAGGGCCACCTAACAGACGCCTGTAAGATCTGCAGGTTGTTTAAGCTAAGAGGGAGAGGGACTCCCGTTTAAAACTTCTCCTCATGGAGGCGGCTTTACAGCCGGCACCGGCTGGACACTCTGTGGTGCGCAGTGCACCGGCGTCCACGCACAACACTCATCTCTGGAGCGGGCCTTGGTATCGAGGGCTCGGCACCGTTCTCACTCCCTGGCACCGAAGAGATCAGGAATGTCCCATGGTAGGTCTCCGAGCTGCAAGTCCAAGTCGGGCCTACACCGCAGTGCTGAGTCTCCGGTGCACATGTCCCCGACTACCACTGTGTGGCGTAAGCGAGCGGGACAACCATCCAGCCCAGGGCAGCTACCCTCACACCGTCCCTCCACGCCGGACACTTTTGAGGCAGCGCAAGATCTCATTAGCCTCACTACCTCCCCTCCATCGTCGGTTGAGGCAGAGAGGTCAAGATCGCCTACGCTGGAGGCCGTGCTGTCACTGGCTTCGCCTCCGCACCGGCGTGATCAGCTGGCACCGGTCGCTTATGCAGCGGGACTGTCCCCTGTGGGACCAGTACTGCTTGCCTCTACCTCGGCGATGGTCTCGGTGCAGGCCGCCAGGCTTCACCCGGCGCTCGACTGGGCTCGACCCCCCTCGGTGCTGGGACCTCTTCCAGACCCCATCTTGGCTGCACTAGTACCGTATCACCCAAGCCTTGCATCACCGTCTACGGCACCATCATCGGTACCAGCGCTGAGCAGCTTTCCCGGGGTGCTGCCCCAGTCTTCGGCACCAGGCCCTTCGACATCAAGCTTTTCGGCACCGATGCAAATTCCAGCTCCGGGCTCTTCGGCACTGATGCAGGTTTTGGCACTGTTACAGGCAACGGCATTGGCCCCGTGGGCCATGCCGATACCTCCATCACCCGGTAACATTGATCTTTTCGAGGTTTGTCTTGGCAGCTGTAGCGCTTTCGTTCCAGCCTGCAGTAGAGTCTGCAGGAACAGCGACGGGGCTGTTGCCAGAAGGACAGCTGGCTTTGGGGGTTCCGCACCCACAACCAGTACCGACTTCGACAGCACAGCCATGCACCGTGTCTGCACCACAACCGGCACCAGGACCTGTCTTCCCAACCCCGGCTCCACTCCCGGCACTGGGACCTGTCCTCCCAGTACCGCAACCGGCACCGGGACCTGTCTTCCCAACCCCGGCTCCACTCCCGGCACTGGGACCTGTCCTCCCAGTACCGCAACCGGCACCGGGACCTGTCTTCCCAGCGCCGGCACGCCCTCATCGCATGCACGCAGGCAAACCCGAGTCTATGACCAGGTTTGCCCCCCCGTTGGTGGCAGGGCATTCGTCATCTGTGCCTTCCTGGCCTGAGTCTGACTACCCGTCGGATTCTGATGCAGCTTTGTTCAGGTCGGAGTCCTCAGGAGCTTCCTCTTGTCAAAGATCCTGTTCCCGGCACCAGTGTGATTGTTCGCGTGTGCAGAAGACTTGGCCGCCTCAACCACAATGGCCCTTCTGGATGCCGTGGGCATACCACCAGTGGCAGGGGCACTGAGCGCAGCCATTGGTGTCGCTGTCACAACCCCTTCCTTCGCCCCAGAGGTAGAATCATAGAATCATAGAATCATAGAATAATAGGACTGGAAGGGACCTCGAGAGGTCATCGAGTCCAGCCCCCCGCCCTCAAGGCAGGATCAAGCTCCGTCTACACCATCCCTGACAGATGTCTATCTAACCTGTTCTTAAATATCTCCAGAGAGGGAGATTCCACCACCTCCCTTGGCAATTTATTCCAATATTTGACCACCCTGACAGTTAGGAATGTTTTCCTAATGTCCAATCTAAACCTCCCCTGCTGCACTTTAAGCCCATTACTCCATGTCCTGTCCTCAGAAACCAAGAGGAACAAATTTTCTCCTTCCTCCTTGTGACACCCTTTTAGATATTTGAAAACCACTATCATGTCCCCCCTTAATCTTCTTTTTTCCAAACTAAACAAGCCCAGTTCATGAAGCCTGGCTTCATAGGCTTCTCTAGACCTTTAATCATTCTTGTCGCTCTTCTCTGTACCCTTTCCAATTTCTCCACATCTTTCTTGAAATGTGGCGCCCAGAACTGGACACAGTACTCCAGCTGAGGCCTAACTAGCGCAGAGTAGAGCGGCAGAATGACTTCACGAGT